CATGGGAGTGTTAATTGTCTCTGATTCACAAAACTGTGTGACCTCACCTGCTCCCTGCAACATGTGAAAAGGATGTCCCATAATGGGACAAAACAAGATAAGATATTTATCTCACAAGTTTGGGGGGCTTTTTGATGCAGTCTCAAAAGACCTTAGAGTACTGCTGGGCATTTCTTTAATCACTACTCACAAGCACAATAAAGACCAAGCTCAGTGGAGCATATTATTAGACAGATAATAACCCTTACCCAGCCAAGATCTAAACACTGAACGCATCACACACTGGATGAGTTGTCTAGAAAGTTTTGGGTTGCCTTTTTTTTCTATCCTAAAAGAAAACACAACCCCGAAGATGGGCTGGAAGTCCCATAAAAGAGTACCCAGACCTACCATGAAATTTATTACCACCACAAAGCTCATCTGGCTTTGATTCTGAGGACTGTGCTTTTCACCAGTAACACACAGAATAAGGACCAGATATTGCCCCCCTGTGTACTAGCAGAAGTCTTGTCAGAAATTCAAAATGAAGCAATCACAGCCTATCTCCAAGCAATACATGGAGGGACAATTGTTTGACAACTGTAACTTGACTTCTGAGGAGGCCAGGCAGGAGAAAAGCAATAGAGCTCCTGCAATGACATTTAAATGCAGATTTTGAAATGCACCAGGTGGTACAAGAAAATCACAGAGGGAGTAACCCTCGGAAGATCTATTGAGCTACATGAGAACATAACATAACCAAATCAGCAGAGAAGAGAACCAACTAAATTTGGTTCAGACAGACTGTGTTTCAGTATCGCTCCCAGGCCCCGCCTGGAGCTTCCTGTAGTCTTCTCAGCTCCTTTTAAAACGTAACATGTTGAGTCTGTGCATTTTTTCCCCTGCCAAAAATAATCAACCTGAAAAAAAAATCCTTCTGAAAGCTCAAATCTGCACAGTCTTAGTCACCCTTCTGATCACCCTTTTGTGCAGACAGACTGTACATCAGTGCTATTTTGACAAAGAAGTTATCTATGACTAAAATGGGAAAGTACACACAAATTACTTTACTTCCCCACCCTTAAAAAACCCACCATCCAAGAACCTTATCACAGAAAAACATATAATTAGACTGTGCACTTGTGATGTAAACTGAACTGCTGCTTTCAATGATCACAGCCACTCTTCAAAGCCTCAAAGATAAAAAGAATCTTATCATTCAAATTATTACTTCTTAGGGATGCTCTTATCAAAGTTCGAAGGAAAATTCTAAAAACAGCAGTGATATGAAACCAGGACTGAGCCATATTTTAAATGACACTGGATTTTCTGCCAATTGGCCAATTCACAACTCAGAAAAAGCAAGTGTAGATGAAGACAAAGCTGTTGGCTCTCATAACCTTTACAATATCACAGTAAAAATCTCAACTGTCTCACATATTTATACTAAATGGCAGGTCTAAAATTGAGATTTGTAATTTCACAGCATCAAAATCATCACAGATGGCTACAGTCTATTGCTTCTTTAATCCGTCTTTTCTGCCTTCCTGCTTGTTTTCCCCCTCCTCCTTTGAGTTAGAAAGATATGTGTTTTATCATAAGGAAATAATAACTAAATCCAAACCACATTTTATTAATGTGTAACAAAACAATTTACATAACAATGATGAGTACAAGTGAAGTTTAAAATTACTCTGTCTCAGCTTTGCCCTAAAGCACTAATTGCCTCAGCCTTGAGATGTGCCACTATTTGGGATAGTCATCTTCCCTCAACAATATTCCACATTGGTATTCTCCTAAATGGACAGCCACTAACACAGAAGATTTGAGGGAAAACCAACAGTAGCAGAAATAGCAAATCGGAATTTTTTTGGCATCTAATTCACAGCTACAAGTTCATGTGCACACAAAGAATCAGAGCTCACCTAAAATTTCTACTTATTAGGACCAATTTTGCAGAACCACTGCCATGACACCTGTGAAGCTTCCCAAATAAATATGGATTAAGTGCTTAGATCCTTTTCCTTCCTGTCCCAGGTTTTTGCATATATACACACACATGTATGCTCAGTAAGACAATCGTCATCAATAAAGTCAACTGAAAAAAAGCAGCAGGGAGAGAAAGTTTTTTGCCATCATATTCAAACACCTCCATACCACCAACACAATTTTTAAAAAATCCCATTTGAGGTCAGAAAGTCATTAACTCCTACTACAAGAACTTTAGATGTGAAAAGGCTTTCCATTACGCTTCCCACACACATATCAGAAATTAGGCAAAAGAATCTCAAGGAAAACATTATTTAAGAATTGGGAGGGTGAGTGAACTTGAAGCAGCTTTCAGGACAAGCCCAGGGCCAGCTGGTCTGTCCCAGCACTGTGTGACACGGAACAGGTCCCAGGAGAGGACAAGGAGCTCCAACACAGACTGGAGATCTCCCAACAAGTGCAATGCCCCAGTCCACTGGCTCTAACTATTCCTGCCCACTGAGCTTTTGTTAAACATTGAAGATCTTAATCAATCCTAAGTCTGACCCTAGGATCACAGGGGAAGATGGATGAGGAAATGGACAACCTCTGACCTTTCGTTGTATTTGTCCTGCCACAGTCAACCTATTGAAAAACAATTGAGGTGGAACCTGCTCACCAGCTCCCATCCCACACCAGAGCCCTTTCACAGCCTTTCCCAAACTCAAAGTCTCTTCCCCTGCCCCCAGTCCTCTGTATCAAAACCACAGGAATCCTCCTCACTTCATCCTCCTCCTCCCTTCCAAAAACCTGTCAGAGCAGAACATTAGCTAAACGATTAAGTTAAGAGTGGAAAGAAAAGAGGAAACCTCATTCAGTAGTGTCAAAGGCCAAACTGCTTTAACAGCCTCACTGGAAACCAGAGAGAAGCTGCACAGTTCTGGTGAGCTTCATGAATTCATCAGGAGGAGCTTTCCAGTTAACTGTTCTGGCTGGAGAATGGCAAATGTGAGAAGAGGAAACCACAAGTAACAGCTGATGAAATGGGTTTAGCACTTTCAATTACACGCTGGCTCGAATGCTCTGAAAATGACTAGCACAGGCCAACTTCATTGTGGAGAGCCCAAGAGACAGAACATTCCTAACACCTTTGTCAATATGGCATCACCTGATCTTCCTTTTAATTGGGAAACAGAAAATTAGGTTTCCTGAGCCCAAACGTCCCCAGATGCAGCTGAGAGCCTTTAGGTAAGCTGACAATCATCCCCAAGGTCTAGTCCAACACTACAAAAATAAGCTTAAAAAGCATGCCCCTATAACCACTGCCCATCAGCAAAACCTCAAGAGATTTCCCCTGAACAGCACAGGATTTGTTGGACAATTAGCTCACCACACCTGGGCCACTGACACTGAGAAATGGATGATCTGTGTCAATCAGAGTGATGCAGTGCTGACATAACAGGCCTTTAGGAGAAGGTGGAATCATCTCTGTGCAATAAACCAATAAATGCCTCCCCACTTCACTTCCTCCTCTCACAGCCCAGGCTGGTAAGGGGTCAGGAAGCTTTGCTCTGAAGTTATTGAGCTGTAGGAGTGTAACAGCATCTTCCCAGCCACCAATGGCTCCCCCGGCAGCACCCAGGCAGTACCACAGCCACAGGTTCACACACTTTGTGGCAAACAGGCTTTCAAGTTTGCATCTCACAGGATGGAAAAAACCAACAAAAAACCCAGAGTCTTTTACCCCAGACAGGATGCCCTGTCATTGTGCAGCTCATCTTTCAGTCCTTTCTAATTTCATCCCATGGAAATTTTGTTGCCACTATGCCACATCAGGCTTCTGTCATGGAGCAAAAGCTCAGGAAATTAAGGCTGAAGTTCACACAAAGCAGTTCTTTCCTACCAAAATTTAATTTCAATGCATAATGATGAACTTCATATTGACTGTAAATTACCATTTAAAAGAAATCAAGTAAGACATTCAAAAGACACCATTCTCTTAGGAGTCCACCACAAAAGCAGCCAGTTACTTGCTTTGCCAACTTGTTCTCAGTCTCAAGATGATAAAAACACACCAAGTAGATGAGGCAACCGACTCCAAAGAAGCTTTTCTATAAACATGGTTCCAAATCCCTGAAGGAGCTGAACACCTTCAATTCAGCACCCAGCAATATTAAGTTCACTGACCTGTGCAAGATTCCATTTAAGTTTGATCTTAATTTATGCTTACATGAGCAAGACTTTCAAAGCAGAGGCTAAAGATATTTTATTTATAAACTCTTCTCTCCTTCCCTAACCTTCTACAGCTTCTTTATCCAGAAAAGGGAGGCAAAGATAATATAGGTATTGAGGCTCTTTCTTTTAGGCGAAATCTGTCTTTTATACAAACTTTAATCCCTAATTCTGCAGCACACAGAATGGTGTGTGTGTGGGAGGGTGGGGTGGAGACTTTTAGCATTTCTAAGAGTATCCTAGCACCTCTATTATTTAACTGACAATAGAGACTCTCTCAGAAATGAAAATATTTAACAAAGGCAGCAGTGTCAAATATCAAAGGGTATTTAGTGCTAGAAATTTGCAACAAGTAAAACACTAAAGATTTCCACTTCCTAAAGTAGGAAAGTAATCCAGCTAAGATTCCTGTCCTGCCTCCCAGACTGGTTCTTAACCTACTGCATTATCCAAAGTCAACTTTGCCAGAATTTCCTGTGTTTAACAAAGTTCCCTTGAAAGATTTCTCTCTTCAAACAATAGCTCAACTGCACTGCTCTGCAGTCATCCACATTTTGGTGACTATCACAAGCCAAATCAAATTTAGGCGTCTGCTAGAAAATGTGTTTCACCTTCTGCCTATTACAGCAGTATCATTTGTTTTGCATTATATAATTCTTAGCCTTGCCACCTGGAGCTGTTGGACTTCTTCATTAAACCCCTCTGTCCCACCACATCCCACAGGGCTGCTAATCACTGGCTTTAGTCCATTTGCTCTCGTCTAGGATTCAATTATGCATTCCACTAAGCCCTAATGAACAGTACAATATGGCTCTTCCTACCTTGGCATTCTCCATTGCGCTCCTCGTAGCCAGCGTTGCACAGGCAGTTGCCAATGGGCACCAGCCACTCGCCATCTGCCCCACAGTACATTTTTGGCACATCCTTCTCTTCAGAGTTGTTGACACAGGAGCCACGAACCTCCACCAGAGAGGAGGTGTCAGCCCCAGTGATGGTGTCTGGAAACTGCGCCAGGTTCCGAACCGTCAGCGGGCACTTCTTGTAGAACACACGGACCGAGACCAAAGCAATGCAGGCACCGACGTCCTGGAAAGCCAAATAAAACCCCTTCTTGCTGAGTGGGCCCACGTCCCGGATCTCTGTATTCAGCTTCATGATCCTGTCACCAATGTCCACCTGTGTGAAGCTCTCATCGGCAGCAATGGTGTCGATCTTGGCAAACTGGCTCTCGCGAATAAAACGCTCTTTATCGTTGTTTGATTCGTAGTAATAAAGGTTGAAAGTCTCTTTGCAAGTTCCCATGACACCAGGCAGGCTGTTGCAGTCTCTTAGCGTGAACTTGATTTCAATGTAAACCCTCTGAGCCCCCTCACGGGGAATCCAGTCAGTTCGTAACCAATTATTCTGACTGGGCTCCATCACGTTGCAGACTTGGTAGGTGCGGATAGGAGTGTTCTTCTCGTCCATGATGCTCACTTCCTCCCACTGCAGGGAGGAGAACAGGGAGAAATATACATCAGGATTAAAAGGAACAACAGAGCTTCACAACAAACAATAAGCACTTGTTCCATTACAGGGAAACAAACAAACAGACCAAAAAACAACCCAGCAGACCAAGCCATAGCCAGGACTTCAACTACTTGGACATTAAAGGAAGCATCTGTTCAGGAGAAAAATTCCAAGTCCCTCATGCCTCGAGGAGCAAGCATGCTTTTTAAGGGCCCTCTGAACCAATCCAAGAACGCTCCCTTGACTGACTAGGTTCACTTGCAGTACAGTTCAGTCCACAGAACATTGCCTAGAGCAGGGCTACACACAAAACTTCACAGACTCACAGAGCAGCACTGACCTGCTCTGCAGTGTTTTCTCTGCAGCAGATCTCATGGACCCTGCCTTGCACCTGGGAATATCCAACAGGTGACACGGGATGGCTTAGTCACACAGAGAGAGTGACATCCACATTTCAGGCATCACTACCACTTACTTTAAAAACTCCTAAGCCATCTCTTATTATTTCTCTAGCTGCCAACTACTTTCCTGGCTACCAATATCCCAGACAGACTCAGTAAATTCTACTTTGGAGCTGGGCAGAAATAGCTGTCTACAGAGAACTGGGTCCTTGACTTGGGTAGCTCTTAAGAGAATGAAAAACAGGTAAAGAGACAATATCTTCTGTCTACTAGCATCACCACTATAAATTCATTATCCAAACAAAGCTTCTTACGAGTGGGAAGGCAAAAAAAAGAAGAAATACTACACATCTTTTTTTTCTGAAGGAAAAGTCAGGGAACTGCCAAATTCATATTATCAAAATCCCAGAAAGGTTAGCAGTGAGGGAAAGAGCTGAAAGATCAGGATAGCAGCATTCTTCAAAATTGTTACACCCCTCAAATCAAGTTCAGGCATCTTCAGAAGTGCCAACCAGGCAACATGATTATGAAACAACAATAACGTGTGTAATCCAAGGTCGGTAAGGAAGGACAAGATGCAGGTGTTCAGCATAATTAACTCAGAAAAGGAAAGCACACATATTCAACAGTTCTGAAAAAAGATGTTCTAAGTATTATCATAGAGAAGAAATTTTATCACAGTGCTCTACTAGCAGGGAGAGAGAGGAAAAGTAGGGGCATTAGGAAAATAAATAATTTCAGGAAAAAAAAACAAAACAGCAAAACCATAGCACTTCCATTTACATTATTCAATTTATCCTTCCCTATAAAAATATTAGATAATGATATGCTGACTAGGTTTGCAGGCAATACAATGAAGCATATAAAATTATCCTTAGAAAACAGTAATAACTTTAAAGAGACTTCTCAGAAGTGCTTTTCAGAACTACTGAAGCCATAGCTTTGATAAACAGAAGCCTTCTTAAGATGAAGGGGCTTCTTGTATAATATCCTGCATTCTTCTCCAAAGGATTGCTCTTATGCAAGTGATTTTTACTTATAGAGCTTCCAGCTTAGCTGAATCCGTTTATAGAATGACAGCAGTTAGCACCATGAGTCACTAGGAGCAGAAAGAATAATATTTTATTTGCTGCCTAGAGATAACTGCAAATTAAAATGAAGAAGGGGGGAAATCAATACTCAGCATGTCACTCCTTTCCAGAGAAAAGGAAGAAATAAATCTTAAAAAGTCATCTATCAATGTAAAGTGTAACATGTTGCTAGTAAGAAGACAGACTTGTTTAATTTAGAGCACCACAGAGCTAGTGCACTGTTACAATATTGTCTTTATGATCCATCACTTTCCATTCTGCTTATCTTCAGATTGCCTATGCTACCAATATTGTGTGTGGTACAAGAGAAAGGAAGAAGCAGAGGGAAATAATACTTGTTGATGGGATTTCCTTTAGTGCATTTACACAATGGAGGATGCTGCTAGAGGATTCAATAGAGAGACCACTGAGGTCAACAGACACACAGCAACTGAATTCAGCGAGTTTTTGGATCATGTTCTCAACACACCCATCTGCTGACCAACACACAAATGTACAGAGCCGGGCTTATTTCATTAACGCACAAATACAGAACAAACCCAAGTGAATCTTTCTGACAGAGCTGAAAACATCTACAGCCCAAAACGTCCAGCCACTGTAAACGACTTGCAATTCTAAGTATGTGGTCAAAGCTGTAACTTTTTGCTTTCAAGCTGAAATTAAATTTTATAATTGAGCTCTTCCCACAGTTTAATGATGCCGATTAAAACATTCTGAGCACAAAACCTGCTTTTCAACTGTGAAATACAAGAGTAAATCATTAATTACATTTATAATGCAACTCATTAATTCCTCCGGGGCTACTATATAGCTAGTCACTGCTAAATGACTTTATCTCCAGCCTTTCTTATCCACATAACCCTCACACCGCAGGAACAGTGCGGTTCAGATGTAGAAAAATACCTTTTTTTAACAGACAATAAAGTACACACAGTTACAGAAAAACAAGGACAAATTCTTCCCAGGAAGATAAAGGAGTTTGTTTCTGCTGCTTGAAATAAATCTGCAGCATATGAAGCAAAGTAAGTGCTTTCCAAGCACTGTAGCTCAGAAACAGACCATGTACTCTTAAATTTTTCACTACAGGCTTAAAAATAGAACACACGGATGTAGGTTTAGTGAAACGAGTCACGTCCACAATAAGAGCACACATTTCTCCTTCTCAAGCTTGCATGGCGCTTTCAGAAAAAAACATGTGGAGAAAGGGGGAATCCAACAGCCATTAATAATATACAGCTGTCCTCTGATCATTGATTCCACTGCTGACTTATTAAAACTTGTATTTTAGGTTCTGTTTTAATGCACAGTGTAGATATCCCTTGGAGAGCCGTCCGAAAGACCCCGTCTCATTAACCAGCATTTCCAGGGTGCAGGATTAACCAGGCAGCCCCGACTCTCACCGAGATAGAGCTGTACCTTTCCACGCTGTCAAAAGATGAGGGCAATTGCCTGCAATCAGCACTGAATGTGCACCGTGGGCGCTGCCAGAGGCCTGCCAATCACATCCTCACTCTCTGAAAAACCGAGTTTCGGGGACAGCACAGTGTGCTCAGGCGGAGCACAAGCCAGGACTGTAGTCAAGTTCACCCAGAACAACAATGGGGGAGCAAAACAATCCCCCATTCTCCCATGTTATGGTTATTCAGAGCTTATGCATAATGCATCACCAGCCAACGCAGCCCCGGATTCCTTCCGCTCACTGCTGTTTCCTTAGCTCTGCTTCTTCTAATTACGAGTGGGAACGCACACACAAAAAAAGTAAATTTGTAGGTTTTCTGAAGAATCCAGTGCTATGTTGTCCTGATCTTTGAGCACTTTCCTTTTTCAAACACTTTGACTTATTTACTTCTGCTTAAGGAGTTGAAGCTGCTTATACTCGTTTAATATTAAAAGGATTTGGGATTTTTTTTTTTTTACATGCAGGTTTAGTGTGCATTGCTGGCATTTTTTGTTTAAATTGTTCATATGAAGAAAGAAAAAGCTTTTCTAATTGCTTATTAAAAGAAAGTCCCATGAAGTATGGTCTCCTCCAGATCCAGCAACTCCAGAGTCCAACATTCGAAGGAGTTTCCCAGAGAGGACACCCTGCAGGTCGGGGCACAGATGAAGGAGCAGCAAGGAGCATCCAATCGTATAAAGCTAAACCAAAAAATAAAGCTACCTTGTGTGCAGCTGTCTAATCAAAGGAACTCTAAGCCCACAGTGAACCTCTTAACATCATCACACCACCACTGGGCAGTGCATTCAAGCAGCCTTCTGTTCAATAAGATAATTGTAAAAGTACATAAAAACAAACTCCAAGGAATCACAGTCAAACACTGGGTGCTCCAGTTTATCTGTTCAGAAACTAAAACACACGATGTTTACATCCTGAAACAGGACAACTGTCCCATCACAACAAAAGGTCTATCGTGTATATTGATCCCTACTCTTTCATCCAGAAATAGAACGGCAATTGCCCTGAACATCTCCCAGCCAAGACAGCCCACAGATAAAATAATAGCAGTCAAGAATGCCAATTCAGTCGGCAGATCACATTTCTTGTTGGTATTTCAGTTTTAAATAGGCATCTAAGCCCATGCCTCAACCAATCTCTTAATTCTGAAACCTCTTTTCTGCCCTTTTGGTTTCCACTTATTCCATGACAGAACTATCCAAAGGGAGTATAGAGTTTCTCCAACAAAGAGTAATTCACTTGGTAAGCCAGGGAAGAAATCTGACCTCCTCACCACAATCAACAATAATCGAGCCATTAGGACTCTCTGAAAGTTACTAATCACCCCCTTTACCCTTTTGATCAGATAGCGATTTAAAACTTACCCCTCCTTCCAGGGGACTTGCTATCCACCCCAGTTCTCCCTGAACTGATCTGGAATCCAGCAAGGTAACTGCAGAAAGGTACAAATAAAAGAGATTAAATTCCAGCTGCCAAAAGGCAATATTAAATAAACGGTTTACCTGAACGTTTCCATATGTGCGGAGCACGATCGCATCCACCTTCCACTTGAAATGAAATGTTATTTCCGACCGCGCCAATATCTTAAAAACACTCCGAAACTCTCTCTGAGGAATCCCACGCTCGTTTCCCGGCGCAGCGGAGCCGCTCAGGGGCGCGCAGGGAGCGGCGGAGTCGCGGCACACCTGCGACAGCCAGCGGAGCGCCGCTCCGAGCGCTCGGCACCGCACCTCCTGCCGCCGGGGACAGCGCGCCCGCATGTCGGTCATGGGCCCAAAGTCGATACTTTCCGAGAGCCCGGGAGCACGGCTGGGCACCGAGAGATCAGCCAGGGCCTCCCGAGGCGACCGGCGCCCTACGCCCACACCGCGCGACAGCCGCGGGCTTCCCCCGCGGAGCCGCCGCCGGATGGTCCCGCAGAACGGGATGAACCGGGGCCCCGGGGAACGGCGCGGAGCCGCCGAGCGCTCCCGGGAGAACCGGTTCGATGAGCCGCCCTCCGTTCCGGGGCCGCCCCGGCGCCGCTCGCGGGAGCGCTGCACCCGGGCGGCCCGGCCGGGGCAGCGGCGGTGCGGGGGACGCGCGGGGCAGGCGGCGGCCGCTCCGCCCCGCGACACCTGTGCCGGCACCCCGGGCGGCCCCGGCAGCGCCGCTCGGGCAGGTCCGCAGCTACCGGACGGGCAGCGACCGGCCGGGACAGCGCGGGGCAAGAGCCGGACCGGCGGCGAGCGGAGCGCCGTGGCGGAGAGGGGACGGGACAGCACCGCTGCCAGCTCCGGGGATACCGAACTTTGCCCCGGCACCCCTCCGGGAGAACGCGCAGCCCGGCCACCGGCAAGCCTCACCTTCGTTGGCGGGATAGACCCGTGAGCCGGTGACGGCGCCGCAGACGCCGACGAGGAGCGGGAGGAGGGCGCAGATCGGGACCCCGGCCATGCCGCCGCCGCGCTCCGGCCGCGCTATCCCAGCGGAATAACTGCCTACATGGGGCGCGCGGCGCGCGCTAGACATTGCCAAGGGGGCGGGGCCAGCCCGTCCGTCAGGCGCTGCAGCCAATCGCCGCCCGCTCCGCGCCGCGCGCCCCGCCCCGCCCCGCCCCCCGCGGGCTCGCAGCGCGGGGAGCCGAGCCGAGCCGAGCCGAGCCGGGCCGGGCCGGGCCGGGCGCTCCGGGGCGCTCCGGCGGGGCCGTGCGGGGAGCGCTGCCCCAGCGGGCGGCTACAGCGAGCGGCCGCGGCCGGTCCGCGGGGTCTGCGACTTTAACAGTGTCCGAACTCCGAAAGATGATGGAAAAGGCGAAAAGACAAAGTTAGGAGAGACAGACTGGCGGGGGAACCGCGGCCGTGGCGCGCACACGGACCTGCCCCGCGCCGAGCCCGCGGCGGCCCAGCGTCCCGGGAGCGTCCCGGGAGCGTCCCGGAGCTGCCGCTGCCCCGCCCGGCCCGGCGCCACCGTTGAGCAACAGCGCCACCTGCCGGGAGCAGCGGCTCCCGCGGCTGCGGCTCCCAGGGCCGGACCGGGACGGGCAGGGATGGACAGGGATGTGCAAGGATGGATAGGGATGGGCAGGGACGGGCAGGGATGAACAGGCACGGACGGGGATATGCAGGGACGGACAGGGATGTTCAGAGACGGACAGAGATATGCAGGGACGGGCAGAGATGTTCGGGGACGGCCAGTGCGGCGGCCGCTCTGAGCCCGTGTGAGCGGCGGAGGAGCGGCCCCGGCGCTCATCGCGAAGGTGCCAGTCGTTCACGCTTTATGCACCGGGGCAGCGGCTGGGCGGGGCGGGCTGGTGGGAAAGCCGGGTTCGGAGCGATTCCCTCTGAACGCTAAGATCCATCGGGACGCTCAAGCTCGTGCGCTTCCCCCTCGTCCGCAGCCGTACACAGCACGCGTCCAGCCGAGCCGTGCCCGGGGACACCTGTGTTGGCTGATGTCCTTCGGCTGTCCCCGGGAACCTGCGCTGTGCAGCCACAGCCCCGCTTTGCTTTGAACGCTCCGAACGTCTGACTTCTTAAAAAATACTCTCTAAACGCGCCTTGGCAAAAAAAAATCGTAGTTTTTAGAAGCCCGCTAAGCCTCGTGTGGGTCAGGCAGCTCAGTGGGCTGAGCACCGCCCTTGAACAATCCATACTCACAGAGCTGTCCCCGGACCTGTCTGTCTGTCGGTCCGGGACAGCGCTGCGGGACAGGGGCAAACCGAGCAGCACGGCCGCCGCCCGCCCCGCGATGCTCCGTCCCTCCGCCGCTGTCGGTACCGCTGCCTGAGCCTCGGGAAGCTCCAGAACCGGCGGTGCCCGCAGCGCCTCCCTCTTCGACTCCCCCCGCGCTCCCACCCGCGCTCTTGGCTGCGGGTGCCTCAGTTTCCCGCAGATTCGGAGGGATGACATCCTCCCTTCTCCCTGGGGGCAGCGCCCTGGCTCCCGCAGCGCCCTCCGGCACTCCCGTCGCTCCGTGCGGGACACGGCTCCTTCCCCCGGCTGCGTCCCCGCGCCCCGCGCTGGAGAATCGCATCCAGACTCTCCGAGGATCTTTCCTCCGTCTGGAATAGAACGAATCCTTGCCAGAGTTAGCTGTAGCTTCCGCACAGAAGCCCTTTGCAGGCTCGATTAGCTAAAAAAACACTTTGAAAGCGACTTAAAGTTTGACTAACCATTCTGTGCATCGGAAAGCACGCCTGCTCAGAATCTGCTGCTTTCTCTTTAAATCATTCTATTTTCCCCCAAATTCAAATATCTGTGAAACACAATACTCACAAACACACCCTTACTGACACTTTTTTCTTAAAACATAGCGTATCTTTCATCTGGTTTCATTTCAGGTCAAGGTCTAGGGAGGATGCGTTTTTTGGCACTTAAAACCGCTGCTAAGAAGCTTTGTTAACACAGTATTTACAATGAGGTTCCTATTTCTGAGACTCAGATTGTTTTCCTTAGCCTTGAACATTTCTTTTGGAGCTCCCACTGGCAGAAGCTTAAAGATAACCCTGCAAAGATCGCTGGTGTGTTCTTCTCTTTCCGTAGAAAATAAATCTTTTAAGCGGCTGCTTGGATAATGGGCGTTAGAAAACAGTGTAGCACAGTCAATGCAACTGTTAAAACTTGTACTTCCTGACTTTAATTATCTACAAGAATTTTTGGCCTAATGAGAAGGAAGAAAAGGTTTAGTGCCTTTTTTATTATTTACACAGAAATATAGGCAGTCCTCAATTAAAACTATCTGAATGTTCTTCTTTTCACATCTTTGATGCCTCTGACAGATCTACTACTAGTCAGGATAAACTTTATGGGAAGAGTGAAGCATCAAAACGTCTTCTTTTTTTAATTAAAGTTATTTTTGTGGCAATGCCAGAAGAGTCAGTCGTCATTAAAAATATATAAAATGCTTTGAAACTTTAAATTTTTTTCTGTAATTTAATGCAATTTTAATTTGTTAAGAAAAGTCATATAAAATAAACACAGACAATGTAAAAAAAGGCCTGCAAATGTCATAAAATAAAATGTTTGCAGTCCTACCAAATCTACTATATTTTGGCTCCAGTATGTGGGGTTTTTTTAAGAACTCTTGCCAAAATCATCACAATTTCCTTACTTTGTGTCATTTCAACGAATCGTAAAAGCCCAGCTTGGTTTTAACAGATGTCATTGATACTTGGACTAAATCCTGTTCTCGGCTTCAGCCAGTAACTCCACCCTTCAACAAAGTATCTGACATCAAAATTTATTCCTTAAAATTTCGTTACTGCCATTGGGTCTGTTACATTTGTCTTAAATTCCTATTACCTGAGCAGCTTGCGCAGCTGCCGGCCTGACAACTTATGTTATTGTAACTCACTATCAGGAGTGATTTGGCTTTGATGGGAACTAATCATGTTTGCACCATCATCAAGTTTACACCATTTAAACGGTCAATTTAATGCAGCTCAATAAAGCACAGCCAGTGTCTCTGGTATTTGTCTCAGTTCCTCAGTGAAACTGTATTCACTTGCAGCAGACAATGTAATAATTATGACAGTGTGTTAAATGTTTGATCCTATTTACTTCAGAGAGGTCAACCCCAGCCGAATTATTTAGAGATCAGGACTTGAGTGGAACAGACAAACAGGCACATGAACACACAAACATAGAGCCTCTGAGAAACTGTAAATCATCTTGAAATGTAAGGACTGAAATATTGTTGTATTTCCCACTCCCTCATAATTTGTCCTTCTCATATTTTAAAGGACTGAGGGAATATATTAGTGTATAAATAATTGGGCATTGACACAAGGGCGTTGTCTTGGATGTATCTCTGTGGTTAACATAATTTCTAACAGAACACTGAATGGCTATTAAATGTCTCACATACATGTATGCTTATCCATGCAGAGTTGCTTTATGTTTTTTCCAATCACAACGTTTATACATTACATTAGGCTCCTGAAAGGGCTGTGATTTTGGATGAACATTTGGTTCTATTTTTACTTTATCTTTGCATTCTCCATTTTTCTATGTCCACCTACTCAGGCTCGTCCATCTCCCCAGAAGCTTTTTGCTGTCAGTCAAGTGACAACCTCAGTAGGAAGCTCTGTGTGTTCATGGGTCTCCTGAGGCCCAGCACTACATTTAGAAGGGGGAAAGGAGAAAGAAAAAAAAAAAAAAAAAAAAAAAAAAAAAAAGAAAAAAAAAAATAAGAAAGAAGGGGGGAGGAAGCACAAGCTCTTCCTTTAGTATGCAATTCCACAGCCTGCAGGAAAAACTCACCCGTCTCCTCTGAAAAGCCTTTTCCTACAAAAATTTGAACCTATTTACTCCACTCCCACACAACTTCCACACTACTTGGCTATTTGCAAAAGAGTGTCAAATAACCCCAGGAAGTGTAAGACTCTCACACTGAGTCTCATTGTCAAAGGAAATAATGCCCCAAAGGTGCACCTTTATCAGGCTTGGCACCAGAGAGTCACTGCCGGCTCCTTCCCTGTACAAGTGCTCAGATGTGCCCAGCCTTTGCCTCCCTGGATATACTGATTCTTTTGGATCTGTGAGTATTAAACGTTTGCCAGTAGATTACTTGACAAAATTTATTGCTAGCTATTTCAGAATAACAGCTTTTTATTCGATATGAGTAAGATTTCATTCCTCAGGTCGTGTTTGCTTTAGATGAAGTTGCAGGCTATAATACAAAAAGCCGTAGTGGGAGAACATCTCCATGAAGGCAATATGCATTTCTATAAACATCAAGCTGGCAGAATGATTTTGTTTCAGCTGGGATTAGCAGGAGTTTTGCTGCTGACCTCAATAAGAAAAGGATCAGGTTTATAGCTCACTTGCAAATCCACTCTGCAAAAAAAAAGTGAGCTTTAGGCACTGTAGATTATTTACATTTCCTTTTGTTAATCATGATCATCATCACAAGATTTTCCTATTCATTACTGCCTTGATGCTGATTACAGGACCTGTGACAGTGTCTTTATTCAGAGTAGGCACACGGCGTGACTTGACAATATGCAGACAGACAGATGCATAGATTGTTTTGCCTTTTCTAACCAGCAGTGCTAAGGGAAACGAGAGAAGCGTAAGTGAAATGTAACAGGATTTTAATGACAATTGAAGTAGTATCTTTTATTGCACCGGTCCTGGCAACACAACTCAAATCTCATGGTTAGTCTAAAATTTATAATATGCCATTACCAGGTCCATGAAAGGAAATCCTATCAGCAAAGCTATTTACAAATCCAGGAGTCTTTACAATGCAGATTATGTTTCCTAAAATAAATAAACATAAAAGGCCACTGGGAAAAGGTAAAATCAGTAGGGATGAAGGGGAGAAATAAATGCACCAAAATGCCAGAACAGGTATTACTGCTTTTCACTGAATAAGCCCATCAAATGTGACCAGTACAAGCTCCCACTTCTGCAGCAGAGGTGTTGGCTTAGCTCACCACAGCTCTCACCCTCAG